GAAGAGCCAAAGCACAAAAGAGCCAAAGCGCAAAAGCCCTTCTTCCCGGCTGAACCTCACTTTTATACTGGGCATGATGCTGCATGATATAGAATACTAATTGGCCAGTTTGACCCTCAATCTTAAGTTCCACTACAAGTCACAAGGGGAGTCGTGTCCCCCTTGTCCCAGCTATGCTCCCCCCTTATCCCGCCGTGCTTCTGCACTCCGGCCAGAACACGGCACACTGAAAAGTCCTTGGAGTCTCACGTCAAACCACAAACATCAGCTTGCTATCAACATTCTTCTCAGAGTGAGCCTCTGAGTAAAACCAAAACATGGAGCTCTTCTGGCTGTTAAAAAAAAATTCTGTCCCAGCTAAAACTAGGACACAGTCCTGAAGAATTGAAGGATGTACCACTGGAGCAACCAGACTGGGAATTGTATACAGATGGCAGCAGTTCAGAAACTAGAAAAAGTAGCAATCATGAGCTATAAAGCACACCAAATTGGAAGCACAAAAGAAATTGTTGGAAATACTTTAGCAGATAGGACAGCAAAGAAAGTAGCAAAAAAACCAAGCATTCCAAATGGCATTAATTCCCTCCAAAACAGTAGCCCTTCCTAGGGAAAAGCCAAAATATTCAGAGGAAGATGATAAGTTAGGCCAGTTATTAAATGCTGAAAAAAACTTAGCTGGATGGTGGGTAAACCCTAGTGGACAAGTAGTGATTCCACCTCTTTCGATGAGAGAAATAATTCGAACAAAGCATCAGGAATGTCACTGTGGAGTAGAAGCTTTAGTGACTTCTTTACTGAAGCAGGTGATATCAATTAAAATTCTAGGATTAGCTACAACGATAACAGCAAAATGTGAAATATGTTTGAAAAATAATCCAGTAATCAAGAAAAGAGCCCAAATGGGTAAGTTAAAATCTGGTACAGAACCTGGAGATTATTGGCAAGTAGTTTTCTCAGAATTACCTAGACAGAATGGGTACCGGTACATCCTGGTGGGGGTTGATACTTTTACAGGATGGCCTGAAGCCCTTCCCTGTTGCACCACACAAGCAAAAGAAGTAGTAAAGTAACAACTTTAAGAAACTACTGCAAGAAATAATTCCAAGATTTGGAATTCCAATTGGAATTTCATCTGACAGAGGTCCATACTTTGTTGCTGAAGTAGTCCAAAGCATTAGCAAAGTATTGGGCATTGCCTGGTACTTACATGCATCCGGAGGCCACAATCCAGTGGAAAGAAAGAGTCAGAGTCTAAAGAGACAAATAAGTAAAATTTGTCAAGAAACAAATTTAAAATTGCCTCAAGCATTACCTTTGGCATTACTTCGAATCAGAGTACAGCTAAAGAGTGGAACCCCTATCAGTCCTTATGAATTGGACTGGATAGTCGCACTCAAAGAGCTGTGCTCAATGGTTCAATGTCCACGTGGAGGCCAGTGATGAGTGGTTTTCGTCAGGGGTCGGTACTGGGACCAGTGCTATTTAACTTCTTTGTTGGTGACATGGACAGTGGGATCGAGTGCACCCTCAGCAAGTTTGCAGATGACACCAAGTTGTGTGGTGTTGTGGACACGCTGGAGGGAAGGGACTTTGACAGGCTGGAGAGGTGGGCCTGTGAGAACCTCATGAAGTTCAACAAGGCCAAGTGCAAGGTCCTGCACGTGGGTCGGGGCAATCCCAAGCACAAGTACAGGCTGGGTGGAGAATGGATTGAGAGCAGCCCTGAGTAAAAGGGCTTGGGAGTGCTGGTGGATGAGAAGCTCAACATGAGCCAGCACCGTGGGCTGGCAGCTCAGAAAACCAACAGTATCGAAAAAACCAACCGTATCGAAAGCAGCGTGGGCAGCAGGTTGAGGGAGGGGATTCTGCCCCCCTACTCTGCTCTCGTGAGACCCCACCTGCAATACTGTGTTCAGCTCTGGAGTCCCCAACACAAGAAGGACACAGAGCTACTGGAACGAGTCCAGAGGAGGGCCATGAAGATGATCAGAGGGCTGGAGCACCTCTGCTATGAAGACAGGCTGAGAGAGTTGGGGCTGTTCAGCCTGGAGAAGAGAAGGCTCTGGGGTGATCTTATAGCAGCTTTCCAGTACCTCAAGGGAGCCTACAGGAAAACTGGAGAGGGACTTTTTAGAAGGGTGTGTAGTTATAGGACAAGGGGCAATGGATTTAAAATGAAAGAGGGCAGATTTAGGTTAGATATAAGAAAGAAATTTTTCACTCTGAGAGTGGTGAGGTACTGGAACAGGTTGCCCAGAGAAGCTGTGGATGCCCCATCCCTGGCAGTGTTCGTGGCCAGGTTGGACGAGGCTTTGGGCAACTTGGTGTAGTGGAGGGTTTCCCTGCCCACGGCAGGGGGGTTAGAACTAGATGATCTTTGAGGTCCCTTCCAACCCAAACCATTCTGTGATTCTATGAATTGTTATATGCATGTAAAAGGAAAACAAAATGTATATAACTATTTGCTTTCTCTAGGGAAAACCTTGGTTGCAATTCGGAGTGCTGTGATTTGGAATCGACCTTTATCTTTAGACACGCCAGTGCATGATTTCCAACCAGGAGATTATGTAAACACGTGGACTTCTGAACCTCTGCAGGAGCGCTTGAAAGGACCTTTCCAGATACTGTTGACAACCTTCACAGCAGTCAAGATCGCAGAATCTACAGCCTGGATACATTACACTCGAGTGAAGAAAGCACCAACACCCTGGAAAACTGTGAATCGTGACCCAGAGACTTTGAAACTGACTCTGAAACATGTTTAATTTCTCATATCTGTTTTTGATTGTTCTTTGGATCTTATGCTGGAAGGTAGCACTGGTGAAACCGTGGGCTGACTTGGTGAGTAGGAACAAAAGACAATTAGAAAGAGAACAAGTGATTGAACTTCCAAAAAAAACACCTGAGGAAAATTTGATATTAGTATTAATTAAAGGATTTGCCTATTTACAGAATGTTACACAGATTACTGCTTGTTTACCAATACCAAGGGCAGCAGGTGAATCTAATCCCTGGGGAATCTTAACTATGAATTTGACTAATCCGGAACGTAAAAATGAGACCATTCACTGTGAACAAAGACCAGTGACTCAATGGTATGAACAAGTGAAATATATTAGAAAAAAATGGAAGTTCCCAGGAAGTAGGGCTGAGTGTACAATATTATTGAATTTAAACTTTGTAGGTATTAATGGAGGTTTGACAGGACTAGATTCAGGATATGATTATGGATGGTGTTCTTATGATGAAACAATAAGGAAAAATACAAGCTGCATAATAATGGAATGGGAATGTAAAGAAAATATTCAAACTTCACAAAAGGAACAACTCACTTGGGAATCAATTTAGTCCATGGCTATATTCTCCCAATTTCAATACATGGCAAAAGCCCCTTCGTGTTTTACATGGGTAGGGTCAGTTAATTCAGTTTGGCCAACAGTGACACATAGAGGAACTACGTCACTAGAAAAAGGGAGTTCAATATCCTGGTGGAAATGTGAAAAAGTTTACAGTTGTAGTACTGTAAGTAAAGTAATACAAGAAATTCCCCCTTAGAAGTTAAACAAATTACCTTAAGCATGCCAACATTGTGTCCAATTTGGAAAATATCACCATTTAAAGGACCCTTAGAAAAGCTAAACCTAAAACGAACTAAAAGGTCCGAGACAGATGACACTTGGAACGAACCATCAACAGGACTGAAAATCAGCTGGACTCTTGAGTCTCTTCTAAATCCTATAGCCTCATATAGAAACAGAGAATGACTGTATCATTTAACAAGTCAAGTAGAGAAGTTAGCAAATGTTAAAAGAAAGGGTTCAAAGAATTGAACATTCAATTGCAGGCAACATCTAGAATGGCACTTCAAAATAGAATGCCTTTAGACACGTTTCTACTCAAAGAACATGGAGTATGTGGATATATCAAGGATAAATTAGACCACTGCTGTATACACATGCCAAATGTTACTCAGAATGTAGAGCATGACTTGGATTTGTTAGGAAAAATTGAAAAAGAAACAGAATCAATCCGAGAAGACGTGTCGGAAGATAGGATAGGAAAAATTTTCAAAGGGAAATCTAAGCTCTTGGATCCAATCTTTGATTAAAACGCTGTTTCTGTTGCTAATTGTCTTCCTGGTGATCATGCTGTTATATACTTGCTTGAAGAAACAGTTTGCTAATAGAATTGCAGTCGCAGAATCATGAGAGTGTTACCTATTATTCCACCAGACTAAAGTTCATCACCAAAATATGCTGAAAAGAATCGTAGCTTTGAAAATGATAATGAATAAGTGCTAAGCAGTAAAGAATAGTTTTCAACACTTTCAAAGGGGGAAATGTTACTGATACTTAGAATTTTAGTAATTAGAATTTAATCAATAGTTTGTAATTAATATAGTTTGCAATTGATTTTAATAATATAAAGCTTTAAGAAATATTTCAATGAAAAGTAAGCTCGTAGAGTAACCAGACGCTGCTATGAAATTCCTTGTATAATCCTGTATCAAGACCGAAGGGGTAAGTTAGAATCATGTAGAAAGTAGATAACGAGTACAAGTTGACCTACCAATTGATTTATGATACTTACATAGAACTAGAAGAATGCACGTAGCTATCAAGGTTTGGGTTAATGAGAATGAAGAAGGCCAGCCGTAACGGTTTATGGGTACCTGCCAAAAAACCACAAGGTAACTACCAGAAACCGCGAACTTAAGCGAAAGGTAATTCCGACAGGGGGAGATCGCGACCACAGACTACCTACCCATATTACACCCCAGACTGATTTCCAGATGATTCTTTTATTGCGCAGAATCGGAAATAGGGGAAGAATATGCTAATGATTTTCGGGAAATAATTTGTTTATGCATGTGTAAGCTCTATATAAGAAGTTTAATTTCAGTGCAAGGTGTGCACGCTAGGAGGCGATATCCCCCGTGCACTGGCACCGCAATAAAGAAGTGTCTGCTTATCTACATCCCATTGGTGTTGATAAGTTTCTTATCCCGGATTTTTGGCATCAGGGACATTGGTCCTGTCAGCCAAAGGCACTTTCACATATTCAAACCGGGGCCAGTTGAAATTGGGAATCTCGATGGTGGTGTTGATGACGCAGGTGATTCCCTGGGAGAGGAGCAGGTGCTGGTTGGAGGTGACACTGCCCCAGCTCAGGTACAGCGAGGGGGTGATTTGGGCGAAGCACCCGAGGGCACCTTCGGAAAGGAATCGTGGAGCCCTGAGAGTCCTCGGTAAGGAGTTGTGGCTTCTGGAGGTCATGGAGGAACTTGGCACTCACACTTCCATCATGGGAAGAGATCCAGCAGGATCTTCAGCCAAGGGAAGGATTGTCTGGCCTGGTGATGCTAGGACAGCAAGAGCTTCCTCCTCTCACTCACTGCATAACACAAGCAACGCCACATGAGTGGGGCAGCTGTCCGAGGAGACCACGTCTACGCAGGAGAACAGGGAAACCCAACTCACCCCCGCCTTGGCCTGGGCAACCTCCTACTGGGCAACCTCCTACTGGCAAACCTCCACGGGGCAAGGTGGTTCTGGGTTTGCATGGTGCTCATTACTGTGGGGCCCCCAGGCATTGTCCAGACCGATATTAATGAAAAAAGTCTCCCAGCCTAATTAGCTCCAATTTCTCGTCGAGGGTTTGGGCAGCCTACCCGTGGGCCTGGACCATGTTTCACCCGGACTAGCTCGTGGAAGATTAGCTACACCTTTTCCACGCTCAGAAGCAGCAACTTCACAACTGGCCCAAGCCCGAGGGGGTGGTGAGAAACAGCTCACCGGGGCTGGATGCAGATGCTAGCAATTTAGATCACCCTGCCCTCTCCCACCCGTCTCCTTTTTTAGGTGTATGCAAGGCCCCGCCAAAGCGCATACACAGAGGAAAGTTGCTCATTAGAAAAGGCAGTGAGTCACGTCCATCCAGGTCGGTAATCGGCTCCCATCTAGGCTGGGGAAGTGTGGATGCCCTGGTTATGTCAGAAGCCGAGAGTCAATCCTAAGCAGAGGCTGGGACTAGGGAGGCTCTTTTCCTGCTGCTTTTATAACGGACGAAGGCGTTGGAGAAAAACACACTCTGCAAAGGCTCGGCTTCGCCCGTGCGAGCCATGCGTTTCCACCTCCTTCTGCTGGGCTCCCCAGCAAGGACCCCGCTTTTCTTTCCTCCACTCCTTCAGGATTTCTCCGAAGCCAGTGGAGAAGCCACAAGCAAGGGGACGAGCCCTGGAGCATTAATAATTTGCAAGTCCCTTTTAGTTTTGCAGTCTCCAGCTGGAGACATGCCATGGGAGAGGCTCCGGTCAGCGTGGGCTGGGAGTCCCTTCTCTGCCCAGGTCCGTCTGAGTCCACCAAAGTGTCCCCGGGCTTCGCACGGAGGGGATCGGGGGTGCTCAGCACCTCGGGTGACGGTACGTCTGGCCCTCGGGCAGCGAACCCTCTGGGTCAGAGCGTCCTCGAAGGGCTGAGAGACCCCGACTGCAGCCATCCGCCTCCATCCCGCACCCCGGGAAACACCTGCAGGTCTCGGCAGTGGCTGGAAATGCTGCCAGTGGATTTTTGGCACGGCTCTGCGGTACGGTAACTTAATGAGCATAACGTGGCTCCTCTGTGCTCGTTCCCTGCTGGCAGCTGCTGGAGCAGCTCCTGCAGCCACGGGCCCAACGTGCCGGCACTGCAAGATTTCATGCCCCAACAAGATTTTTGCCGCAGCTGTGAGTGCTCGGCTTCCCCTGTGGACAGCCCCACCACAGCCACCCAGCTGGAGTGGCAAGGAAAGGCACGGTTTTCAAAGGACTAAAGTCCTTTGAGGAGGGGAAATCCCTGCTCTCAACTGGGTGTTACTGACAAGGCAAAGGATTCGGGCACTTGCACTTGATAACGATCTGTCCTGCTCCGAATCACCGGCCGGCACATGGACACTGTGCACTGCTGGAGCTGAGACGTCTCATAGAGCGTGTCCAACGCTGAGCTGGGGAGAGAAGAGAGTGTGGGGTTTACTGGGATCTGTGCCGGACCCAACCGGGACACCGGGCAGTCCCCCTGCTGCGGTAGGCATAAGCCACCCAGTTCAGGTGTTGTCCGAGGACCAGAAGGGAGGACTACGGCTCCATGGGGAGAGACAAAGGCTATGGGCACAGCGTACCCTCCCTGGAGCTCATTCATCTGCCTCTGGCACCGTGGGGCCACAGCCAGGGGCTGCCGGTTGCTCTGTGTGCCTTTCCCATGCCAGCGGAGAGGCCGGTGGGTGCCACGGCATGTCGCCCCTGCTGGTGCCCCGGCCTCACCGGGAGCACGACAGCAGCATCCCTGCTTCGCTCCCACAGACCGGGGCACCCGGATCTCTGCCCCAGCGGGACCCTGACATGTTGCCTGGGTTGAGCATGCTTGCCTGCCCTGCCCGCCCCATGGCCAGGCTGCTGCCCCCCACACTCCGAGTGCTCCCCAGGGAGATTGGGAGCCCTGCGGGAAGGGCTTTGCTGCTTTCTACAAGGTGGTTCCCGTTTGCAGGCAGCAACTTATCCTGACATTTGCATGCAACAGGCTCAGCTCGCTCTGCCAACGCTGCCGGGCTGGCAGCAAACCACCTGCACGCCGTGTGTGGCCCGCTCCCGAGCAGTCCCGCGTCCTAGTTACGTGCCACTGCCCCGGGGCTCCAAATGGCAGCACGGCTGCTGCTCTGGCCAGAGCAGCTCCTATCAAGGAGGAGTTAATGTTTCGGACAGGAGTTCATGCCACAAGCGAGAGATAAGGCTGCCGTGCTCCGTCAGACCCAACGCCAGTAGCTGAGATGGCTGTGGCAGGAGCAGATCCCAGGGGACGGGCACAAAGGGCATGTTTCGTGGCACTGGCAGCAGGAGCTGGCTGGGATGCCACCGACTGCGACGTGCTGTCTCCGGCGGGTGCCGAAGCCGCAGTGCCACTGCTCACGCGCGCTGGGCTGAGCAGCTGCTGGCGCACGGGGAGCTGCAGACGGAAAGGGCCTCAGATGGCAGAGGCTGCGGGCCAGTTTTTCAGCTGACGATGAGGAGCTACCGCCGGGCTGGCGGATGCCAGTCCTGGTAGCTGCATCTTCTCGCAACCGCCTGCCTGGCCCCAGCCAGCTCCTGACAAAGGTTTCCCTAAAGTCTGCCGTTCCACTCCTGTGAAACTCCATTTGCCTCCCTCAGCACAGCCGGGTTATCCTGCCGTGTCCCTGCTGTAATCCTAACCCTAATGCTCTTCGTGCAGGAGTTCCCGTCATTGTGCTGGGAACCTCAAAAAGAGAGGAAAGCCTCTTCCCAGCCATTGCTGCGTGCAAGAAGTTAATCTACCCTGACCTCAATCTCTGCCTTTAGCTCTTTTAGGACACTTGTACTCAATACTCGAGACAGGGGATTGGATGGGCCAGTACATATTATACAAGCTGGAGACTATATATATGTTGTCTCTTACAGGAAAAACTTTGGAACCACAGTGGGAAGGACCTTTCCAGGTACTGCTTACTTTGTACACTGCTATCAAGGTTAAAGAGAAAACTGCATGGATTCATCATACCCAAGTTAAGAAAGCCTGTAAAACACCATGGAAAGTCATGCAAGTACAACCTACCAAATTGCAATTATCTTGATTATAATTACGCAAATTCCAGGATGGCAGACGAACACACATCTAAGTGTGACACAAGGAATTGCAACATCATTAAATAGAACCGATTGTTGGATCTGTGCTCGGATGCTTAGAGACGGAGAGCCTCCCATATCTCTTATAGGAATACTGATAAATAGCAAAAAGAATAATCCAGATTTATGGGTCAACACTAACTGGGAAAAAAGTATAGATCAGCAGATTAAGATAGTTATGACGAATCAACTAACAAATGCTACATGTTACCGGAGATGTAATCTCCGTACTGTGGAGAAATCTTTTGACTGCTCCAGCATGGGCCTAACTTCCCAGCTCCCGTCTTTATTCACACAGGATTTTCTTCGTGCAGTCTCTTCAAAGATCTACACTCCAACAAAAAGGCTTCAGAAGAAATTTTGATTTAGACCATCAGGTCTGAAACAAAACACATATGCGATTTCCACAACCCTTGAGCTGGCTGGCTGAGAAACATGACGTAGTGATGCAGCACAGCTTTAATCTGGGTAAATTTGGGATAGCAGTGCGCATTAGTCCAACTTTGACGGCACGAAGCACAAAGGGAGCTACAATTGCTTTAAAGGTTTGCAATTGCTTCTTTAGGCACAGATTTCACATCTACAGTGCCTTATAATTTGTTCTTCCAAAATTGGAGGTACAATGACTGTCTCCTGAAGCGTGATTTCCAGCTTCAGAGACAAATGTCCTTTTACTGGAGCAAAGGCAAGAGATGGACTGTAAACTTCAACCCTGGGAGCAAGACGAAGGAATTTTCCCATGACAGCTTAGATTTTAAAAATGAGTTAACTCCTAAGTTTGAAATGCTCCTGACAGAATCAGAGAAATCAGCACTCAAAAAACACGTAAGGTATTTAAAAGCACATGCCAAATACGTTTGTCACAGGTTTCGGCAAATGTCATGTGGGGATTCGATAAACACCTGACTTTTGGAAATGAAAAGAGATTATCAAAGTTGGGCTTGTCAAGGTCAGGTTGGAATTTGCTCTGTAAAATCCATTACATTTTCTTTAGTGTATATAGAATATCCCTGTCCCATGTAGAGAAGACTTTCTGAGAGCGACATCAGCATTTTTGTGTCATTTTCCAGATTTTTGTCCCATCCTGCTGTGGAGACTTTACAAAAACTGACACTGACTTCAGTTATGACACTTTCTTTTAGTATGACATGATTTTTCAGAATGGAAATTATACAACATAAATTTTTTTATTTATGAATGACAAAGAACCAGGTCAATAGGTACCAACTCTTACCTGCAATTCAGCAGAACTATGTTGTATTGTGAGAAGGAATGCAGGAGTCTTACTCCAAATTACTAATTCTTCCAGCAGGGATACAGCAAGATACAATTTTAAATATTGAACAAAGTATTTGAAAGTTATAATAAAATTGAATTTAATTAATAGATTGAGTCATTCTAAAAAGCTGTTGAAAGAACTGAATAAATTATTCAAACTCACGTCAGCAATATAGTTATCTTCATTACACATTTTGGAAAATTAACTTGTGGACCACTAAGAATTAAAAATAATGACGCAAATATTTTGATGGAGAAAGTGG